TAAAGAAGGCAGTAAGAGAATAGTGGAAGGAAGCACACTATAAGAAGGTGATAAAGCTGTGACACCAAAAATAATATTAGAGAAAGTTCAAAGGTATGTGCAGGGCAGTAATAGGACAGTAACAGACTCATGGTGTGGTAGGACCATTGTGTAGAGTGCTTAGCACTGTGCTGACATAGCACTAATGTTAAGTGAACAGCATATGAGTAAAAGAGAGAGACAGAGAGAGTAAGGCCATTCAATCAAGACTTAGTGAGAAAATGTGCTAAGAGATGGCCATGTATGATAGGGTAGGAAAAGCAGTTATGCTGGGTGACATCCAACACTGATATTATGCGAATGGAAAAAAAAACATTGGCTTCCCAACAGTGGAAATCCAAAGCGCTGAAGACAAGATAAATAAGCATCAACAATACTCCAAGAAAAGCAAAATACCCTGGAAACATTTACCTTGAAGAGGAGCCCAAAATAAGTTGTCAAAGATTTCAAAATTACTTAAAGAAGACTCTTTAAAGTATAGGTTTATGTAGTTTGCATAAGTTCAAGAGAAAGCAAGAAAATGACAAGATATAGTATAAAATACTTTTTTAGAAGGATAGGAAGAAAGCAACAATTCTATGGTAAGCTGTAGAAGCCCATTTTTCAAAGGTAATACAAATTCTAATCCCATTAAGACAAAAAGTCATTAAAAAAAAACCAGTATTTTAACAAAAGAATCACCAAGCAAAAAGCATGCTTATATTAATCAATATGTAATACAATAAAAATGCATAAATAACAATAACTCAGAACTGGGAATACTATTTGAAGTTCAATGAAATGGTGTTTTACTTATAACACAACTGAAATATAAAAAATCCTGTATCCTTGGCATAATCTTGTTTCTGCAGAAATATGACGCCTTTGAGAAACAATGAAAAGAAGCTATCTTACAAATTTTAGAATGACTTCAATTAAATTTTAAAAGGAAGCAGATAAAAATGCAGGTGAATGAAAATCTAGTTTGTAACAAAGTTTTTAATTGCCTGATATGTTTATGCTAGTCTTTCCTCAGCACTTTATGTAGCTTCAATAATTTTTGAACTAATTTTGTAACTTCTTTTAAAAGCAGATATCTGATTTCAACAGGAATGTAACTACTCTAATATATGTCTCATAATCATGGACAAATAATGGAACCAGTGATGTAAAGCACAATTGTTTTGATGCATGTTTCAAATTCCTGCAATTAGGGACATGTGTACAAAGCTCAGGCTCAGACACTGAATCTGGGAAATGGGGCCATAGACTGTGGCTCATGGCCAAATCCAGTCACTGTTTTTGCATAATGCATAACTAAAAATAGTTTTTACATGTTTATATTGTTGGGGAAAAAATGAAAAGAAAAATATTTTGTAAGGAAAATGTTACATGGAATTCAAATTTTATTGTTCATATAAAGTTTTATTGAAACACAGTCATATTTAGTCATATTGTCTATGACTGCTTCTATGTTACAATGGCAGAAACTGAGTAGTTGCAACAGTGACTGGTAAGCAAAGCCTAAAATATTTATCATGTGGCCTTATACAAAAAGAATTTAATGGCCTTTGGTCTACCCTGAACTAGACTAACAAGGAACTCAGGAATGAGCCTGAAGAAGAATTTAATCAACTAATTTCTAAAAACAACAGTAGCAATTTAAATACTCTACAGAAGTTGATGAAAATGGGTTAACTGTTTTAAGCCGTTTGTGATTTATTTAGTAAAATTTGTAATTCTATAAATGATAAAATAGTCAACTAAAGAATATCAGTCAAGAACAGGTCAAAGGATTTGTGCCACCAAACAATGCATTTGCTATTGCTGAATCTGAGGAAGTATTTCTAGGCTGTCCAAATCCCTGTTACTTTTACAGAAAGATACAGACATATAGGAAATTTGTATGTGATTTGGAGAAATAGGTATAAATTTAGAAATAATTGGTGGTAATTGTTAAAACTTATCAAGTCAACTATTTTGTCATTTGTAAGAATCATGAAAATTGTATAAAGTAAAACTAACCCATAAGGTTACCTGTGGGCCCATTTGCTACACAGTCTTTAAGCCAGAATGATGGCTAGTAATGCAGCTTTCTCTCATTGCTTCCCCTTGCCTTTTAAAATTTATCCTGCCCCTGTTGGCTTTTTGGTTTTTGGTTTTCTGCCCCTAAATATGTATCTTACAATATAATTTTCTTTACTTTGACTGAACCACAACAATGTATAAATCCCATAATATGAACAGATTATATTTTCTTCTAATTCCATTATTGTGTCTAAAATGGGATCAAGCATAAGAGCTAAATAAATAATTTTGAAAAAAAAAAAAAACATGTTGTCAACATCTATGGTAAATATTTCAATTTTGAGTTTTGCAAGTAGTTGCAATGCTTTGCAATTCATGGCTGCCTATAGGTCAAATACTATAAAGGCCTAACTTTAGTATGAGAAAAGAGCTGGGGTGAGGTGGAGGGTAGGAAAGACTTATTCAGGTCTGAAAGATTCAAGGTGTTCCCCTAACTCATAACTTCCAGAATGAATTCAGCATAAGGCAATGTGATTTGGAGGAGATACTATAAAATGATTATCACAACAAAATTTACTGGTGATAAAAGCCGTCGCCAGTAAGAATTATTCACTCATAGGAATTATTCACTCATTTACAAAGCAAAAGTCCACTGGCCCCTTTCAAAACATTATTTATAAAAACAAAACCAAATATAGTTAGAATAAAATGTTACTAGACAAGGACTTCTGCATTCTTAGATGAGTTCCTTTAGATGAGATCTCCAAGTTGTGGCTTAATGAGCAGATACTTTATTGGTGTCTTCTATGTACCCAGATACTTCCTGTAGGAAGATCTTATCTGGTATAGCTGTTATTTCACTCAAATTAGCAATGCTATACAAATTAGTTAGGCAAGTCACCTGTAAACAAAAATTTAATGTTAGTAATTTTCAAAGTTTAATCTTACAGTTAGAAGGAACCTAAGAGAAAGTTGAGCCTAGGGACTCCAACATAATCCTGGGAATCCTGGCAACCTGGAGGAAGGAAACTATAGCACTTTAAAAAGTTCTCCCAGATTCAACATTTAGACTTGTTGGTTGATAGAACCTTTAAGAAGAAGACCTCTGCGGATACCTCCTTTTATCGATAATTATACTGAGGCCCAATGAAGCCACCTATTGTTAGTAAGTGTGCCTTTGAAATACAAGTACACTTGACTATCCTCTTCTCAGACCACCTCCTTGTGTGTTCCTAAGGATATTAGTATCCTTCAGCTTGTCTTCTATAAAAATAAAGGTAATGGGCCTTCACTGGGGCACAACAGATTAAAGTGCAGCACTGCAAGTGAGGCACAGCCCATCCAGTGTGAGTTCGATCCCCAGTGACCCACATGTAGCAGCAGACCTTTCCTGTCTTCCCTTGGTAGTGTACTTTGTTGATCTGCCTGTTCTGCTCCCCACTCTGTCTCTGGTGAGTCCTCTCAGTGCCCCTACACATCTCTCCTGTACGCAGTTCCATATACATAAATAAATAAATCTTTAAAAAAAAAATGAAGGTAATGCCTTTTAAAAACACTATAAAGATTAAATGAATTTTCACTTATGAAAACAGCTGACACATCCAGTAGTTATTCAATGTTGATTTCCTCCCAAGGGGTGAAACTAATTGGAAAACACACAGCTAGAAGGCTAAGATGCAGGACTGGAACCAAGAACTAGAATCTCCCTCACACATTCAAAGGGAATTCAATTATTTCTTAAATAGCCTCTATCCTTCAAGAAAATATAAGCTTTAACACCTGAGTGTGGGGGAAGTGGAGATTATGAAAGGAAATTTTTAACTCTACAGGTTGCAAAAAAAGATACATATTTTCTCAAAACAAAGTGGCAAAAGCATGAGGATGTTTAATCCAAAAAGCTGTAAATTGGCTACTTTTTTAAAGATGACATCTACTCAGTATGTAACTGAAAGTTGCCCTCTGGACACAATGGCTGAAATAAAATTGTATTGCTTCTATACAACATTTTTTTGCCAGTAAATATGCATCAAGTGTCAATCATGCCAGTGTCCTGTGGCCTGTAGACATGAATCAGAACTTTGGTTTTGTGCTCAAAAAACTTAGAACCTAGTAGAGAAAAAAGGTGTACTTTAAAGAGTGATAAAAACTGTAAGTACATATTGAGCCTCAATGGGACTTGAAATGTTTATGGCCAGTCTGGGATGGAGAATTATTTAATGTTACACTATTAAGGGTGAATGCTCACTGGGTCGTTAGTGGTATATATAAGACAGGCTAATAAACACTGTATTGTGCTGTTAACTGAATTCCAATCTTGTTTCAGATTCCAATCTTTAGATCTCATGTTTCTCCTCTGTATAATAGGTGAATTCAAACGCAATTATATGGTTGAAATTACATGATAAAGAGGAACAATACAAGGATACAGCTTATGTCCACCCTGCAAATACTAGTTGCCAATCACAGTGTTGAAGTGCTTCACTTATGTTACCTTCATTTAATCTTTTCATCAACCTTATGAAACAGATACAATTAGTATTTTATTTTACCAAAAAATAAGAGAGAGAGAGAGAGAGACAGAAACAACAGTTTCAGAAAGCTGGAGTAGCGATTCGAGCTGAAGTAGTCTGAAACTATTTCGAGCATTACCCTTAACTACATACCTAACCAGTCCGTCTTCATGAAAACTGCCTCACCCGTTAAGAAATAAGTAAAATAAAAATAAAGCTTGGGAAAGGATCCTTTCTGACGGGTAGATGAGGAAAGGAAATGTCACACTTGTCTATTTCTCCTGTCTGTCGCACCACCCTCTCAGAGACCATCAAGCGCTGCCTTAGCGGTGCGCACCCCCGCGGGGTCCACACACGTGACAGTCAGCGGCTGACAGGCTGAGGCGCCTAGGAGGGCTGAGGCGGGGAAAGTGAGGCCCCGCAGGCGCGCGGCAGAGTCGGTACCTGAGTTGCTCACAGCTCCTGTCGGCTGGTTCTTCCACCACTCGTCTCCCAGATCGTCTGCCATCTCGGCTCGGGATTCTAGTCGGAAGACAGGGGAAAGAAGAAAGTGTCTGGAAGACACGCTGCCTCAGAAAGCGGCGGCCGGCGTCGCAACACGAGGAGCCTCAGTTCAGAAACTGTCGCCTCCGCCCCGTGCGATGACGTCACTACTTCGCCCCGCCTCCCTGGCAGGCGCACCTACGCCTCTCAGTTTCCACACTTGGCGGAATCCTTGTAGAGACGCAAAACAAATCCCTCCCCAAAAGCAGAAAGATAATACAACACATAAGACAAAAAATATTTTCATATTCTGGGGACTTACTTAAAAATTTTTGCCTATATTTTATTTTTGCTGAAAGGATATTGGCGAAACTGTGAAACAGGATGCTAAGACAACTCTCTCTCTCTTTTTTTCTTTTTTTTTCAAAGAACCTGAAACCCGGGAAATGACTTGAGCACGTGGGTGTGTTTTCAGTGGTGTGTTTTGGGAGTCTGTTTGCAATCTGCTCTTATAATACTTGGCATAGGAACTCAAGATCGTGAACGTTGGACCTTAGTTGTAGATGTGAGTAATACTCTTTCAATATGATCTGAGTAAAGAAAATGTTCATTGGTCCGGAAGGTCTTGTTCAGGAAAGCCCTAAGGATTGTGTACTTAGATCTTTTCTAGTGGGACCTGTTACTATCTTTCAGAGTAATTGTTCACTGGGGAAATGAACAATTACCTAGCTGTTTCAAGATTTGTTGAATACAGGATAAATTACACTGTCAGGGGGAATCTGGAATGCCACCATAACCACCTGTTAGAGTGGGGTATGCAGAGGTTGGGTGATAGCACACTAGCACAAATATCTATCACCGTGTCTACAATGGATCCTTCAACTTATTGTCATTTCTTCAGTTGTAGAGTACATAATTGAGATGGATATGCTTAACAGCTGACAGATCCATCACTTTGATTCTCTGACCTAGGAAGGTTTAGGAAGGGCCAAGACGAAATCCCTAAAACTATCTACCCCACCCATTCCTTGACAAAGAGAATGGGAAGTGCTATCTCATTCCAAGCTAAAAGGATTAAAGGTTGGGGGAGGCGGGGAGGGATGGTTTCAGTTTACGAGCATGATGCTTCCAAAGCCAGATAGACCATAGCAAATGAAGGTGGATTACTGCAATTTATTCAAAGAGTAATCCCAATCAGAGGTTGTACTAGGTACTGTGTCTTTGATGGAATCAATCAACAGAGCCTATTTCTTGCTATGGTATTTTTTTCTTTCAAATTTTTTAACATTTAGATTTTTATTATTTTTATCAACACTATAGATTTTTTTCCCCACAGCTGGAAACCTTACAAAAACTGGAAGTGTTATGGAGACTGTCTATGAAGACTACACCCTGTGATCTGTGCCACCATAGATATGGTGGTATGAAATCAAAAAGGGGGAATTGTTAAGTGGAAGGATGTCCTGAAAGAACTCTGCAGAGTCTTGTGGACCCCACCCCCTACTCCAGCTTTCTGGACTCTGCCCCCTACTCCAGTGATTGGAAACTACAACCACACAGAAGTATCAGGAAGAGAACTGCGAGGACCCAAGGGCAGAGCTAGCAGGAATTCTGGGACATTTGGGGGGATAAATAGGACGAGATTGCATCTCTAGCTCTCTTGCTCTCTCGCCTGGGAAACAGCTCTCTGACCAAATGACTCGTTTTCAGTCAGCCTAGCTGGTAAGGTATTCCAGTTACTTTGTATCCCGCTCTCTTTCCCTGGGTTGTTTCCTATTCCTTTCCCCTTTTGGAAATAAATCCGTTATTGACCCTTTTGTGTGTACCTGCAGTATAATTGAATTGTGAGCACGAAGGTGAGGCCCCACAGATAGGAGGCCCAGTCCACTCTGGGCTACCCTGTAATACCACCACTATAAATTTTTTCCTCATCACTATCACTATATCCCTATGACCTATTTTCCACTTTCTACCTCTTAACATCAGAATCCCCACTTCATTTATTGGTGTCCCGTAATTTTTACAGGTATTTAGTTTTGTCAAATTACTCACTATGTAAATATCTATTACTTGTCCTTTTTCCTTACTTGCTTTAATACACTTAGTTCCCTTGAACTGTCATTGTAGGGGAATAGTATTTAATTATGCAGATATACCATACATTCTTAACCTAATCTTTTATCTGTGGGCTTAGGTTGTTTATATGCCTTAGCTATTGTAATAATACTGTTGTGTACATTATAGAGTATGTACTTTATTGGGTTGATGGCCTCATTTTCTTTGGATAGATTCTCCAAGAATGGAATTGCTCGCTTGTATGGTATTTCATTTCCAGATGTTCTTTTTTTTTTTTTTTAAGATTTATTTATTTATGCATACAGAACTAGGGTACAGGCCAGAGATGCAGGGCCAGTGAGAGGATTCACCAGAGACAGAGTGGGGAGCAGAACAGGCCAACTGAGAAAGTACACTGCTGAGGGGAGCAGCGGGCAGGTCAGGAGAGGTCTGCCACGCCATGTGGGTCACCTCCCTGGCTGGGGATCGAACTCATGATCAAGTGGTGTTAGCTTGTTAGTGCTGTGCTTTAACCCACTGAGCCAAGGATGGCCCCTCCACTTTTTTTTTTAAAGTAAATACAGATAATGTTCTATAATGTTTGCAATGGTTTACATTCCCACCAGTAGTATAGTAGAGCTTCTTTTTAAACTCTTCATTCTTCCCAACACTTCTTATTGGAGGTCTTTGTACTATGTACCACACCTGTACAAATGTGTAATTTTTATCTCATTGTGGGTTTTTTTTCCATTGTTGTTTTTTTTCCCTGCATCTTCTTTATTAAAAGTGATGAATATTTTTCCATCACTATTTTCCGTCACTATTTTCCGTCACTATTGCCCTCACTCTTTGATGAGTGTTCTGTTCAGATCTGCTGCCCATTTACTAATGGGGCTTTCATTTTGTATTGTTGATTTGAAAACATCTTTTGTATATTTAGATATTATCCCCTTTTTAGTTGTGTATTGTGTGAATATTTTCTCCCATTTGCAGATGTCCTTTAAGTCTACATACACCACACATGCACATGTATATTACTTTGTAAAAACTTTAACTGCATATAATCCAAATCATTTATTTTTGCTTTTGTTTACCTTGCTACAAGGGTTGAGTCTCTAAAAACATCTATATTGTTGATGGCATAAAATAATACAATTTTCTTCTGTATATTTTGTTGTTGCAGATCTTTCATCTAAATTTTAGATTTTTTGGGATATAATTTTGTGCAGAGAAATAGAAAGCAGTCCAAATTCTTACTTTTGTATGTGGCTGTCCAGTTTTTGCCTGTTACTGTTGTTGAAGAGACTCTCCCTACTATGGTCACAGGTCCTCTATCATGATTGTGTTTTGACATATATGTGGATTTATATCTGGGCTTTCAATTCTGCTCCATTAGTTCATGTATCTGTTTTTATTCCAATACCATATTGTTTTCAACACCATCCTTGGGCTGTTTCTGGGAGTGAGGACTGCAAGTGAATTGGTCACTCCTGGTGGTGATGGCGAGGAGGAGCTTCTTATTGCCTGAGTCCAAATCAATAGACAATCACATTTCCTCAATTGACTGTCCCCAGACCACCAAAGAATATCCACCACAGATGAGGCACCACACAACCAGGTGGACATAAAGCAGTTCTATTTTCCAGAGATTGCACTAATATCTCCCCTATGAATTCTCCTTACAATGTGACTTCTCCCACTGAGTAGTGAGTTCTATGTCCCCTTTTCTTGAACTTGGTCAAATCTTTATCACTTCAACCAATAGAATATGGTCAAAGAATGGTCTCTGACTTATAAGGCCAGATCTTAAAAATTCTATGCTTTTCTACTTTGATACCTTGGAATGCTCACTTGGAACTCAGCATCACCCTGTGAGAAAGCCTAATGTAGACACACAAGGAAACGATAAGAAAGAATATATACACATGGATATTCACTTCAATGGAGGTGCTTGCTGAGAGCCAGCATCAACAACCAGACCAGTAGATGAAGATTCTTCTAGATGATCCCAGGCCCTGTTGGTTGATTCACTGCTGTCAGTAGCCCCAAATATAATGGAACAGAGACAAACCATTTACTGCAAGTCCATTCTGAATTCCTAACCCCCCGAATTGCTGTGAGGAAAAAAATTCTACTGTTTTTCTTCTGGCCACAAGAGGGAGACCTTGTTCCTTGGGAATCTGCAAGTTGCTGATACCTGGCTCTCATCTAACAAAAACGGGTACCATACTTAGAGTGGCAAAGAATATTCCCATTTTTTCCCACAGGGCCTAGTGAGGCAGGGTGGGTGAATTGTTTAGTTCATATCTTGAGGAGCATAGCCTGTGCAAAGATTTCCTCATATAGAGAAAGAAACTTTGTAACCAGAAAATTGACATGGAGATTGCATGATTGAGCCTGAAGAAAGGAACTCATTCTAGTTTTCACTTTGGGGTCACTGCATGGAGGCCCAGTTTTTCCGTACAGCAGCTGGGTGGTGAGGTCCTGGGGAGGTAACTTACACCGAAATAGAGGACCCATCGTAAGTGGCAGGCCCATAGTCTGCAGAGCTCTCCTGGAGTCAAGATTTCTAGACCCCCACAGTGGTGATGCTTGGATGCTCTCCCCCTGGGGGAGCACTATGGTGAGCTTGCAGGTAAGACAGATTCCTGGAGGCCATTTCCAGTTATCTCCATCATAGGTCATCCTATTGACAGGTGTTTTTTCCCTCTAGTTTTTTTTTTTTTCCTTAAGATTATTTATTCATACAGAACTGGGGTACAGGCCAGAGATATGGAGGGTGAGAGGATTCACCAGAGACAGAGTAGGGAGCAGAACAGGCAGATGGACGAAGTCCACTGCTGAGGGGAGCAGAGGGTGGGTCAGGAGAGGTCTGACACGCCATATGGGTCACCTCCGGGGCAGACGGGAATCGAACTCATGCGGAAGTGGCTTAAGTTTCTTAGTTCAGTGCTTTAACCCGCTGCTCCACCAGGGAGGGCCCTACCTCTAGTTTTTAATTCTTAATTATTTTTTTTAATTGTGGTAAAATACAAATAATGGGAAATTTATATCCTAACAGTTTTTAAGTGTAGAATTCCATGGCATTATGTACCTTCACATTGTTGTGCA